AAAACTAAGTTGTCATGAGATTTGCAATTTAATTAAAAAGTTGACTAAGGAAGATGAGGGTTGGAGTCTTGTTCTCAATAATTATCTGAGTAGACACATGAAAAGAATCCATTGTTCTTTTCGGTTCATTGCTATATCAACATGAAGATCCAACTTAACTAGACCATTAACACCCTTTATGTCAAAATATAAAATATAAAAAGGGTATGAAGTCCGTCAAATTTCTAAAGGAATTTTGTCGTTGAACAAAGGGTATGAAATCATTCAAATTCAAGCAATTCTCCCTATAGCACTTAACTAACCCAAGACATATTCCTAAGAAAAGGTCGAGTCACCTTTCAACAAAAGAATACTTGTACTCAAAACCGGCACATTATCTCAATTATTATTCTAAACAACACTTGCATTCACTGATAGGGTTCTCATTCTATTCACGTGGTTCATAATAAAAATCATAAACTCATATGTTAGTAGTGCTCTCGAGTTCTAGGCTATCTCACTGTCTCAAAAATAAATTTTTATTTATCAACTCAACTCTAGACAACAAGAAATTAAAAGATGATTTAAGTAAAGTCAATAGCCTTGGGAATAGTGCTATTTGAATTGACAACCGCTAGAAAGTCAAATTATTTCTCCTTCAATAGAAATAAAAACTTTGTAATGCGAGTAAAAAATATTGTACAAGATGCAAGAATACTCTTTATTGAGGTCAAAAATAGGCATTGAATCAAGACATTCACTTCAAAGGATAGAACATATAAATATAATTTTGTTCATCTACGTATACGTATAAATGCAAATAGTATCCAAACTTATTATCTTCATAATGAAAAGTAGCACTATACAAGTATTCAAAAAAAAAAACTGAAAAGTGCTAATATTGTTCGTTTGTCACTTGTGTAAATATCTATTGGGCCACGCCGTCTCTTAGAGAAACTTTATTGGGCCTCATAATCATGGACTTGCCCAACCCAGCAAACCATAGCCCTCTCCCTCTTTCTCTCTCGTCTCTCTGTCATCTTCCTATTATCTCACGGAACCCTATATTCCATTTTGTATAACCCAAATTTCACTCTATAATTGTCCTTTTTTTTTTTTTTTTT